ACAATTGACTTCTGTAGTATTTCAAAATATGAAGTTTCGGAATTATTGTTAAATGGAAAATGAGCAGATTGAAGAAGAGAATTTTTTTTTCCTCGTTTGACACAGTCAAATAATCGAAATTGTTGGTTTTTGGAATAAACATTTAAATCAATTGCTAAAGTCCATTGATTTTGTTTATCCAATACTAATAGATGTGCAATTTCTGCTACGTTAATATAGGAAGTATGTATGTAGCAGTTATTGCAATGTGTACGTAATATAGTAATATATGGTGATAAGAATGTAATTAAGTCAGATATAGTAGGTTTTTTGTTGATTAAAATCAATATTAAAAAATGAACATTTGTGTTGAATAACTGATGATGAAAGAAAATGTATCAGAGTTTTAATATAAATGCCTAGCGTAATATTATTCTCAAACAAAATAGTCGGATGAGCATGAATAAAATGATATGATACTTTTTGTGAAGTTGATCTAAGATTAAAGAATATAAAAAGATTCAATAATTTTAATTATATATTGAACGATAAATATCAGTGATTTTTTTTTTGCATATGTATTCAAAGTAAAACAAAATTAAGGAAAGCTTTCAGAGTCATTTGATAATATCATTGAAACTTACGCTTCTAAAACAAGAAATTGTTGTAGAGCAATATCAATATAATTGTTAGTTTCAAGATGGGTGGCATCGAAAAAATTCAGTATATAATGAAATATTTTGACACAACAATTAGCTCCAATATATTGATCTTTTATATCAAGGTTATTATCTATGTAATATTCAAAGTCAATATATGTTTTAATCAGATTTGTTGGAATTATTATTTCATAAAGAGTGCGTTCGGTTGATGGACAATGTTTATAAAGTGTTATTAGCTCTTCTATAGTAAAATAGGAAAATTGTCGAGTTTTATTTTCTTTCTCAATGCCAACAAAGATATAATTTTTTTTAATAGCTTGTTCTGGCAAATGATTGATTAAGTCGGACATGTGATGACTAACAATTTTGTTTGGAAAAAGACGTTGTATTATTTGTGTGACAATAGTCATAATTTGTCAATTATTATTGATTTAGATACAAAATAAGATGAATTGCGCTCAAATTTATGCAGTATTTATTAGAATATTTGGTTTTATTTTTTTAAGCAAAGATCTCGAAAAAGAATGAAAATTTTTTGATGAGCTGCTATTTGAGTGTGTACTTTTATTGTATGCATAAAATGTTTATTATATATAGTTGTATTATATTCTACTTTAAGAATACGATATTTTCAAGAAATAGTTATGTATCACATGATGTCAAATTTAAAAAGAAAAAATTATATAATTAGCACTGGGAGTCTTTTAATGGATTATCGCAATTGTTTATAGTATTTTCAAAAACATTGATGTATGCATATGAAATGTTTCTAATTTTTTTTTGGTATTGAAGTATATCTATTGTATTTTGTTCATACAATTTTTTCAAATCATCCAAGGAAAGATCATGCATTATATTTTTTTTCTTTCTTGGTCTTGTTGATCTGTTTTGTTTGTTTTCTTGTTCTAATCTTATAATTGTTTGTTCATCATCTTTTTGGATATGCATGATCCATTTCCAAATATTTGGTTTTGCTATTATGCGACTAAACAAATCAGTTTAAATTTTTTATTTATTACATAATATTTTGCAAATAATATGAAAAATAAAATACTATCCCTATAAAGATGATAGTTAATAAGCTTACCTATTGAGATATCTGTGATAACCTTCAATGCTGAGCGAAAATAAAAAGATACAAATATATAATTTTTAAATTTATTTTTCGCAATTTTTATTTACTGGTTGTTCGTTCTTGGTCTATTAGATAAAGTTACATAATGATTCCAATTTGACGAATTAAATTGTGCATTAATAATATAAGTTTTTTCAATATAATTAAGAAATTTTTGAAAATTAAGATTCATGGATTGAAGTACATCTTTTGAATCATAAAATGCAGAAATTATTTTATTTGTTGGTAATAGAGGTAATGATAAAATATTGGCGATTTCACGTTTGACAGTTTCTTTTTTTAGTTCTTCAGACAAATCTATAATTAGGCTTTCTCATTATAACAATATAAATACATATATTCAATTAAAAAAAAAAAAAAAAACTATATCGAATCAATTAATTTATTTTGATATACATGATACTTCTTTGTATTTTAAACATGTATAGAACAATATAATTCTCTGTTCCGTGATTTATAGGAAATTATAGAATTTATTTTATACAGACTGATCAATGGTATTCAAAAACTTGTCCTTGATAATGAACTCAAATTGTTTTATGAACAGGTTATTGATAAAATTTTATATGCATAAGTTTGTATTTAGCAATTGATTCTGATCACTTGATATATTTTATTTTGAATTATTATCATTTGATTATATTAAATAGCAGATGTAGCTAGTCTATTAAATTAAAGTTTTATTGTATCAAAGAAGTTGTAGAAATTATGACTGTAGTCAAGTGAAATTTAGTTGTGTCAAGGAAGTTGTAGAGCTTGCCTTTTAACGGAAATAAGAAAGGATGGATCTTAAGATTATCTTTATACAACAATGTTTTTGGGTCGATACTTATTAGTCTTAGAATTCAACCTGATTCATAGATAATAGGTATTTTGAAGAAAAAAAAAATTTCTGATTTTTCGCTAATGAATAAAAAAGATTTGCGAAACTTTTATTTTGTTTGTGGTTCAATTTAGGCTAAGATATATATATGAGATATGATTCTTTTGGTAGAAAGAGAACACTGAAAAAATCTTGAGCAGAACCGAGCTTAGATTGATATAGGTTTGAAGAGTTTTGAACTAAGCCATGTTGATCTTTGATCTATAACTGTTTATTTATGGACATTGTTCATAAAGAATCTAATTCTATCAATATTGAGAAAATTTTGAGACTATTAAAAAACTTACGTAATTGTTTTAAATATTTCATAATATTTTTTGCGAAATGAAAATGGCAAAATAAGATGTTGGCGTTTGGAAACATTCTTCTAAAAGCATTGAATGCTGCTAATTCAAAATCAATCAAAATAGATGTTGGAGAGAGAATCAGATCATTTGTTTGTGCATATACAACCAATGCTTGTAAAAGTGTTAAATATGTTTGTTCATATTTATCTGGTAGTGCTGCAAAGACTATTGGTTTCATTGAAAATTCATTATGTGCATGTATTGTATATGCTTGAGAAAACAATTTGGGAGCAGTTTTGAAAGTGCCATCTGCATTCCACGTATTGCATTGTGCTATTAAAAATTCAAATAGCTTTATGTGTATAAACAAATGATATGTTATTGTAGGGAATTGCCAATATTCTAGTCCGAAAAAAATCAATAATCTATGTCCTGGTTGGAAATATTCGTGAAAATTTGATTTTTTGACATTGCATTGATTAGAGTGATGTAACAATAGTTATTTGTATGCTGTAACTCAAGAACATAGAACACCTTCGAGTTGAATTTAAGGCTTCCGTTACCAATCAAACAAATTTAAAATACATCGTAGTTATGTTAAGCTTGGACTAAGATATTCAAATTTTAATGTATTTTCGTATACATTTAGGTGTTCACCATTCAAAATTTCAGAAATTTCATAAAACTACTTTTTATAATGATTAAACTAGAGTTAATCGAGTTGCATAAAAAAAGTCATGTTTTAGATTCACTAATAAAATCTTACGAAACTCAGTCATTTTCATGATATTGTATCTTTTATTTCAAAATAAAGGTATGCTGAATTTTTTTTTTTCTAAAATTTTTGTAGTGAATTTGAAGCGTAACTTTTTCTTGTTCAACTGGGTGATGTATATACAACTATCATGAGAAACAATAAAGAAAATCACCTGAAATTTTGAATTATGGACATCTAACATAAACGATGTATATGTCTTGAAATTTGAATATCTCGGTCCAAACATGCTACAAGCACGTCATGATTTAAATATATTAGTTTGGCAATGAAACCTTTAATTTGATTAACATATGTCCAGTGGCTTTGAGCTACAGAAAGCAATCTTTCATTGTAAGTTTTGCGTGAAATGATCTAGTTCTTGAGAATATTTTGAAAATTAAAAAAAAAAATGCATGCAATCTCAAATAAATATGTTCTTTCTGTTTAATATATGAATGAGAATAAGTTTAGAGTGCAAATAGAAGAAATATTTTACTATGAGTATGATCAAAAAAAAATTGACTTAGATTTAGATCGATTGAATCAAATGAATCAAATGGTTTTAGCTGGTATAACTTCAGCTTCAGAAAAACATTTTATAATAGTGTATAGTTATTGTAAATGAGATGCTTAAGAATATAAAATTGATATTTATTAATATAATTTTATAAGAATTCTTTCTTTCTGATTAAGTTCGTGGTATGAATTTTCTTTGAATTATCACTATTGAAAAAATATTTTACTACATCCGATGATTTAAAAAAAAAAAGAAATACCATTTAAATGATGGAATGAATTTTTTTTTTTTATCTTTGAAATTTTATTGATGAAAATGAAGATTTTCATCTAAATGGTTCCATAAATTTGGTATTTAATCAAAGTCATGACAGTATTTTAATGAAAATATGTGTTTTTATCCATGAAATTGAAAAAAATTAAAAGAAAATGTCCGGTTCATCATTTGAATGATATTTTTTAAAAATCACTGTACCCATCCTAAATATAAGAACATACCAAGATGTTTCAAAGCAGTTAATGAAGCAAATGCCAGAATACGTGATGGTTGTTTTTGATCGCAAAATAACATTTTTTCATTATAAAGGTTTTTGGTGAAATTTTCTGGTAAAATTAAATCGTTCAATACTAGTGGAAGTTTCGGTAATACAGTTGCTCTATCACGATACAAAGTCGATCTAAGAATATCGAACATTGGTACTGATTCAGCAGTACCATTGGTTTGTCTCTAAATATATTGTTATAAAGGTAGCAAAAAAATATTGTATTTACATATTCAGATACGGTTTCATTGTAAATTTGGGTGACTGTCTTAGATGGATTGTCACAAACTTCCTGTCGGATTTTATGAATGGTTTTAATAATAGATAATGATCGTTTAACATTGCCGTGATTGTGTGCGCCTCTCACTGTTTGTATTGTTCCATCCTTTATTGTTAAAGAAGAAGAACACCATCGGTTAGTGCAAACCCATCTATTCGTGCCGTTTTTATTTGTTCTTTGTAATCGATAAAAGTTTTCTCGAAAGTGAATTGCTTTTGAACCTTTTTGAGTCTTAACAATAGAATACATTGTTATTAATTACATTTTTCAAAAACTGTCACATTTTTTTTTACAGAAAATAATCACAATTGAATTTACCAGACTTCGCACTCAAAAAAATTTCGCGTCTGTTGGGCTTACTTTTTTTCTATCTCTATAGTAAGAGAAATTAATTATCAATCAAAAATGCGAAATCTAAAAGTAGACATGTCGATGTTCATTACTAAGGGGACTCTCTCAGTGTATATCAACTGCTTTCTAAACGACATTAATTGTTGGTTCTTTAATTATTTATATGATTCATTATTTTATCATTGGCTGTTATAGATAAAAGTATCTATTCTAAAAAAGTAAGAGTAGTTTTTCTTTAGTAATTGTTATTTTGATTTTTTTGCGAGATGCTTTTACAGATTACAGTATTTTATTTTTCATCTAATTAAATAAAGTATTATTCCGTAATTAATTGTAAAAGAAAATTAATAACGATAGTATCTAGTGAATGAACATTTACTATCAATAGCTTTTAAAAGGCAAATGTTTCAAATTTATTGTTCGTTGCTGCTTGTAGAGGTGGTGTTACTGTTTGTAGAGGTTGTGTTACTACTTGTAGAGGTGGTGTCATTGGTTGAGACGATTGACGTTTCTGAGAGACTCTTGAGATATTTTCCATATTCTTCAGGTGTTATATTAAATTCATTAAGAAAGTCAATCATGAATTTGTATTTATCTGATTGTTTGTCCTGAGGAATATCATCTTTATTAAATAATACACGTGGTTTGCCATATTTTGTTTGTTTTTTGATAGAATAAGTGCCCATTTGACAGTTAGCCATGAATGTAAAAATTTTCTTGATGTTTTCACTATTAACACCAGGACGCTAAATAGAAATAATGAAATCATAGTAAAAAGCTTGTTACTGCAGTCTTTTTGGTTTGAAATGTAGAACCCACATAAATTGTTTAGCCTCGGTAAACTTATACGAAATACGTCAAGTGAAATATATCTCCTAGAGTATAGTTGTTAGTGAAGAGAAAATATCACTGCAGTAAGAATTTCTCTTATTTATTTCTACACTTTGAAGAGAAAATTTTTTTTCAGAGTAGGCTTGCTAAGGTCCGTAATAGAGAAGTGTTCATAATGGGATCTGTCTGTAATGGATGGATGGGGAAAGGTGAGGGCTGGAAAATTTTGATTGATAAGTTTCACTCACTATTTTCTTTGAAAATATATGTGAGTTCCACAAAATTTTTATTGTTTATTTTAAGATTGATAATATATGATCTCTTACACGTAAAATCTGAGCAAGTCGAGTGCTTGATATTACACGATTATGGTAAAATAGTATCTTTTTGATACTCGCATCAACTGTGGAACCATTAAACGGACAAATCGAGGATGACAAATTTGAAAAACCACTATAATTACTAAGAACACTTTGGTTATCCATATTGACAATATTCGAAACAGGATTATTTAGTTCTGTATTTTGTTCTGTTGTATGTATTTGTTGTGATATAGATGGGCCAATATTTATTTCTTCTGATGGTGGAATAGTTATCAAAGGAAACCCATACAAAAGTTTTT